AACATAAATGGGCACATCCGAGTGCAGAACTTGGCCTATCACATGAAGGTAAATATCCTGGCTCCTACTGATGGAAGTCGATGGAAGACAGGCCTACCTGGGATGTGGCCTTTCCGTTCTGGCTGGCTCACCTGTTTCTGGAAATAGCTATTCTGAGATACTGAACAGCAAGCACCTCTCTCCCCAATAGAAGTATCTCTACACAGCATTTTGGAGTGAGACTCTGAGCATCCCCTCTCCTACACTTCAGAGTCTGAACACCAGTGACCACTTTAAAATGCTGCATAGAAATACCCTAAAAGGAATTTTGCCGGGTTTCACTGCTGCTTAAGAGACAGATACCCTCCACTAGCAACGGCTGTTCTTTTGGACTCTCTCTTGGCCCCTTCTGCTCATTCTTCTTCAGCAGCAAAATGCAGAAGCACTAAGATCACTTCCTTTTCACACTAAAAGAGGCTGCTGTTTAGGGCTCCATATCCTACTCCGGTACATACAAGCAGTGGCTCGTCTTCGAGGCTCCATTCACAAGCTCATTAGCCGGAGAAGGAATAGCCTAGGTTCTTTCACTAGCACAATAAAAATACCATTGCAAGGAAGAGATGAGCCCACACAATAAGGGTCATGCAACAGGTCACACAACTTCTGCAGTGCCTTTTGCTTTGGGGGAGGAGGGTTGCACCCTTTTAGCTACAGAACTCTAACACAGCATTAACTTTTTCTTTTATATTAAAAATTCACAGTAATAAAATCCAGCCTCCATTACCTTTGAATCCAAGAAAATACAATTATTACTTTTGTTAACCATAAAATACTCATAGCATAATTATAACAAGCCAGAGTGCAAAGTAATAATCACCTACGTTCCATCTGGGATAGTTGCTTTGAACCTTTTGATGGTATAGTTCATTCTTTGCACAAATAAAAATGCAAATTAAAAACACTGCTACCCCACAGTCTTTTATTACACTTTTGAGGTAACCTCTTTTTCTTCCCTTTGCTTAAGTGTTTTGAGAAGAACACAGCACTAATGCACAAATACACCGCTTATTTTAGTAGCAGTTAACTACTACTGCTGATATTACAGTATATTATATTCTTGTAAGCTGGTTCCTTTCTCCATGTTCACAAAAACAAAATCTTGAAGAAAAAATAATCAAGGGATACTCCAATGATAGTACAGTCCCTTCAAATCAGTAATGTTTCCGTAAAGTTTCCCCACATCAAATCTTGAAAAAGAAGTGAACGAATCCATAGTAACCAGGCTGTTGCTATGTAAAACTGCAAATTAAAACATCAAAGCTGGGGGAGGGACTTTCAGCCTCAAAACCATGATAGAGTCTAGGGCACCTGCTTAGCTAGCCTGGCGTCATCTGCCGGGATGAGGAATAGTAGTAGACATAGTATGTTGTTTGATTTTTGAGCAGGTAGATTCATGCTGTGCACATATTTTGCAAGGAAATGCAGAGTGGAGGGGAAAATAGTGGTTATTCACAAACCAGAGAGCAGTGTAGTTACTGTATACAGCATACAGGCATTTCAGAATCTGACTGCACAGGCTCTCTACTGTACTGCTGTGCAGCACAACAGAAACATAGCATTTTAAAAAAAACTTTCCTGTGTCTACAGAAACCAGCACAAGATTTGGCTCTGCCTTTATGCAGAAATTTAAGGATTGAGTAAAAACACTACAAAGGCAATTTCCTCTGCCTCTGATATTCGCATTTACACATCAAAAGCTATGAATGGAACACATCCAGCCTGACTCAATTAGCTTCATTAACACTGTTCCTACAACTGACAGGTAACTGCTTTTGTCCTGTTATATATATTCTGGATTTTGTAATTTCCACTCCAACTCATCTGACAAAGTGGGTTTTACTCACAAAAGCTCACGATATAATATATTTTTGACTCTCTAAGGTACCACAGGACTACTTATTGTTTTTAAAGTTACAGACTAACATGACTACCCCTCTGAGACTTTTGGCCCACTTAGTAATCCTCCACCTGGCAGGAAAGAGCTGTTTTTCAGCAGATATTACAGAGAATAATACTGTACCTATGCATTTTTACCTACCACAACACTTCCTCTCCTAGTCTGTTTCACATTCTGAGGACTATTTATGCAGTCTCAAAAGAAACTCTCCAATTTTTTAAACATTTAGTTCTTCTGGTACTATTACTAAATATTGTTATTTATATATCAAGTATCCTCTTTCAAAATGCAACAAACTATCAAGCCAACATTTAAAAAAGCAACTGAATTCCTTACTCCAGCAAAACTACTTATACAGTCTTTATATTAAAAAGAACTGGAAAGTAGGCCTAAACATGAAATTAGGAGGGCCTGTACAAGACGGCACACATTATCTAACTCCTTGTTCCACTTCCACTTCAGTCTTTAATGAAGCATTGTAATGTTTGGAGTGAGGTTCATGGACCTGCTCAGCATCAGTACATATTATGTGTTTGCACATTGCCTAGGACAGTGGAGCCCTGGCCCATGAGAGGGGCTCCTAAACTACTGCAGTACAAACATCAATAACAACTTTGTCAAAATACGAAGAAAGGTCGTCTGTGAAACAAAGTATAATTCCTAACAGGGTGCTCACTAGACAACACTGAACTCAAATTCACAAAATATGTTACTTAATATCTATGTGCACTAAATGCCCTCCTGACACTTGAGCTCAACATCTTTTCTTCCCTATTTTTATCCCTATCTTTCCAGAAAAGGTCGAAACTTAAATCCTAATTAGGGTTACCAGATGGTTTCAACAAAAATACCGGACACACTTGACATTACATCACAATCTACATTACATCTTAGTTAGAAAATAGCGAACATTTATATTTTCTCAATTTGTTTCCCGAACAGAAAGCTCAAATATTGGACTGTCCAGTTCAAAACCGGACACCTGGCAACCCTAATCCTAAAGTTAACTTTACTTCTTTAAAGAAAATTTTTTTTTTGCTAATTATTATCAAACAGATCCACTACATTCATGAACAAAATTTGCATAATTGCAGCTTACGTTTCATTTGGAATTGAACCACAATACTGTATGTGCATGTGAACACCTGATAACCTGTGGAACAGAAATCATACCCCCTAATTTATAAAGTACTGGCTATTTTTTCCTCACATTCCTAAAGACTTAAAATGAAAATTGTAACCCCTTCTATTAGGCTACAAAAAAATCTGGAAACAAAGTGTAAGAGGACCTATATTGTGCTAGCCTTCTTCCACATACATGTGAAAAAGCCTTTTCAATTCCCCCCCAAAAAACAAAACCATGCACTTCAAGCTGTGAGCTAGGCCAGGCCATTATATTTGAGGTTCTGCTACAGAATAAATATTCATATCTTGCCCCTTTAAAAATATTGAACTCCTGATATTTTCACTGTGAGAGTTTACTCATACAGAGATACCAAGTACTTCTACTTTTTTGTATGACAGGAAGACATTCAGGATGCAAAGTGGAACATTTGTATAACTGATTTAAGCAATGGGGGAGCAGGTTAGTTTTGTGGTAGACAAAAAATATGTTGACATACCAAGAAGAATAATTAACATTGCATTATTTAAGCCAGTCAGCCCATTTAAAGTCCTGACTGACAAACACTCTTGAGAGTGAACTTAATTTCACCCCTATTCAGGACAGCACTTAACTGCTTTAAGCAAACATGTTAAGAATATGCTCAAGTGCTGTCCTGAATAGTAATACTTTCCTGAATCCAGGTTTACTGTACTAACATCCAGAAACAATTATCACACTAGAAAGATCTTTAAAGGAGTTTAACAGGATATGCCCTGGAATACAACACTTCAAACATTTTTTTACCAGAGATATATGTATGTGGCTACCTTTTACTTCACTGGGAGCAGTACATGTCAAATGGTCAAATACAGACCTGGGGCATATACTGTAATTCATGCATGAATTATTCAGCCATGTAATTCACATCACATTAATTTCTAGGAAAATAGTCCAGAAGTGGAGGGAAGGACAGGCGTGACATTATTTGCATGTGTACAATTACAAAGGTACAAATTCTGCAGTCCTTACTTGAACATTTGTTCAATAAAAAAGGGCAGAATTTGGCTCAATTTCCTAAAGAGAATTAACAATACTATAAATAAGTTATCTAATTAAATTACATATATCTATATAATGTACCTGCTATGATATTGCAGACAGCTAATTTTCTTTTATAATTTGGATTTAATATGACCTGTGCTATAGAAGATGCAATGTAGACCAAAACAATACTCAGAGAAAGGTTGTGAACAGTAATTAATGTACCACAGAGTAGGCCTTTATACATTACAGGCAATCTTGCAGTCTCTTCGCTTGCAGAAGCCCCACTTATTTCAATGACAAGTCTGCATGCAAAGAGATATAAATCAAGTCCAAGAGCTGCATATTCCAAAGCACATACCTCATCTACTGTTCTGCTTTTAACCTACACACTGAATGTCATAAGAGCCAGATTCTTCCATCTTTAAATGGGTGAAGACTCTGTGTCAGAAGTGGCCACGTGAGAAAATTTGATGAACCAGTACAGGTCATCATTAAGACTATCTTGCAAGGAAGACATGAATTTTCAGGGCAAATTCTGCCCTCACACTTCTCCACAGATATTGAAATTAATAGGCAGCACAGGAGACTATATAAGGACAGAATTTCTTAAACTCTCAGGGTATTTCTACACTTGTACCCTCTTTTGAGAGAGGGATGCAAATGAAACCAGGATTTAAATATCCTGGGCTTCATTTGCATATTTGCGTTATGGCGCTATTTCGAAATAACAGATGCTGTTAAGACACAGTTATTTCAAGAGAATAAGGGTTATTTCAAGAGAAGGCTTTTCTCTCAAAATAACCGCATGTTAACAGCATCTGTTATTTCGAAATAGCGCAATTTCGCCAGAGCGTGAATATGCAAATGAAGCACGGGATATTTAAATCCCAGCTTCATTTGCAATTTCGAATGTCTTCATTTGCATCCCTCTCTTGAAAGAGGGTACGAGTGTAGACATACCCTAATAGATTGCCAGTTTGGTAAAAAAGAGAATTATAGACATTTTGCTTATGTTTAAAGCATGGACAGAATCAAGTATTTTTAACTACCCTTTTCTTCCTTTTGAAATCATTTAGTTTTGAGCTGCTATCATACCACCCTAGTTCTGGAGGGTTTCATATACCACTCCTGAGAAAATTGTGAATGAGAGATTAGGAAAATAATTTTAAAAATCACAAATTGGATATCACCTCTTTTGTACTTTTTGAGCATGCAAAACAATATTTCCCTAGCTATCTAATTCTTTCTATAGCTAACCTGAAGTGCTTTTTAAAAAAAATATGAAATCAATAAATTCAGAAAACTATTTAAGAACTTCATTGATTATTGGTTGCCTAATGCTCCTAGTCCGAACAACTTAACTGAGCATTTGTGTACAATGGCAAAAGCGGGGATGCATTCTTCATCCAGATTGCGTCTACTCTGCCTCTGCTTCTCCAGTTTACTATTTGGGAGTAGCTTTTTCAGACTCCAGCCTAGTTAACATACAGCTGTACTCTCTCCATGGGCACATAAGCTCCTCCCATGGAACTGCACTCTACAATCCTAACAACCACTATGCCTAAAAAGAGCTTTTAGCACCCACAGAGATTGAGGCAAGACTTGCCCCAACTGAATGTGAATGTGTAGCATTAACATGAGAAATTAATAGGTTTTAAAAAGTAAACAGATTTTTTTTCTAACCTACTAAGGTTTGAGGGTTATATTTCTCCTAAAAGAGAATGCTGAAAACTACACACATGTATTTTTATAAAGCTTTAGATTATTTGCTGTAGTAGGCTTTTGCTGGAGAAATTAACAATCCTGAAATCTCGTATTGGCTATTATGCAAGAAAGGAAATTATTTCTAAATACTCTATATCTAAATACACATGTAATTTTTATGACTACCCATTGTTGAAGATTTAAGATCTTAACAGGCGTTTTTTAAATTTGTACATTTTAGGTAATCTTTACTCAACCCCACAATTAATAGTCAATAGCTGTTGTCATGCATGGATGCACAAAAAAGCAGCCACAACCTTAGTTGTCTTTTCTTACTGCAACAATGGGGAGTATTATCACCATCTTTGCTGGGGCTAATCACCTTGGGAGAGATCCTCATCTGGTATAAGTCAATCTAACTCCACAGAAGTCAGTGGAACTTTGAAGATTTACACTAGTTCAAATTTAAACCTTAGTGTGCTAATTTGATATGGACAACACAAGGAAAAGCATGATTTTATATCATATCACACATATAATAATCCAAAATCACTCAAAATACAATTCCATTTCAGTCAATGGGAGTTATACCCGGAATTAACTTGCTCATGTCAATTAATGGTAATAGGTGGGCAGGAATCAGGTTTCTTGTCTCAGAAAAAATTCAGAGATTTTGCAAAAAAAATCCCATCCCATGGACAAAAGGTCAAAATCTTGAAAATGTTCATGACCTTATAATCTGAAAAAAAAATCAGTTTGGATTATTCAAATTCTTTGATAATTTGTAAATGTTTTATTTTAATTTATATCTTTTCTTAATCTATACATTAACTCAATTTTAAATATAACTTTTTTATTTTGAAATGATCAAACACTGGTTTCCTCAACATTTTTCAAAATGGGAAATTTCTCAAAATTGCCCATTTCCCATGAAAGGTTTCTATTTCAAAGAATCAGTCTTTATGACAGAAAGATATTTAGTCAAAAAACTCAACTAATTCTATAGTAAACTTCATATGAGGTTAGCCATTTGTAATCAGACACACTGTGTCAGTTTTCAAGCACTCCTGTACACTATTTCATGTTAATTTACTTTTCATACTGTACCTTTTGATTTCCTACCACTATATTTCACTCTGCAAAGCATACCAAAAATAATACTAATATAGGGAAATGGCTTGACCTGCTTCATGGGAAGAAAATTATTTATTTTTTCTACTTTTGGGGTTGTTTTCCATGATCTTATGAAGGTTAATTCACATATTCTCCAACTTTGCACCCTGGTGACATCTGTGGTTTTTTTTTTTTTTAAACATTTTCCCTCTTTTTCAGTGCTAGTGTAACTATTTATTTGAAGCAGTATTTTTCACTTTCAGTCTTGTAGCAGGAACTCAAAACTTAGTGTTGTAAGCAGAGAATAGAAATGCCATAGCCACTGAAGAGAAGACATGCGGCATTGCTTACTTAAAGCCCCATCCTGTCCCCCCAAGGACAATAGCTGCTACCAGGATGGCACCAGCGATGGAACCTATTATAAGATTGGTGGCACTAGGACCTGCGATAAAGGATTATGGGAAGAAAACATAAGAACCAACCACTTCATTCAAGACAAGGGAAACGTAATCAAGCAATTTAGGAAAACAAATAACCTACAAGATGTATCTAAACATTTTCAAAAGGCCCCCACTTGCTTTTCATTTATAGCATGAATAACCAGAGCTATTGTAATGTCTCTCACTGTGCTATACTTCTTTTCTAATACTAGATTTTTACGTATCTCAGAAATTAACAACACTGTCATTCACTTTATTCTCTGGCTTAACTATTCCAATAAGCACGTAGTACGCGAACCATCAGTTCAAAACATTCATATATTTGTCAAATTAAATAAAGTCTTAACTTTTTTCAAATTAGGATTCAAGGAGTAATAAAACATAACTGTTGTACTTAATGCCTACTTATTTCACTCCAATGGCAAATGAAAAAAAGGAATTTTTAGGTAGTTAGGATCTTGGAAGTTGCTGAGTACCCCCATATCCCACTTATTTCAACTTGATCAGGTAGTGTTCAGCACATTTTAGGAAGCCCATAGCACCATATAATCCCTATGGCTATGTCATCCTTAAGTTTATTAACTACAGAGAATTCAGCTGAAAGAGTGGTGAGTAAAAGGATACAATTCAAATAATAAAGATCTGTAATTGAAATAAAAGTTGCATTCCCACTGAAGCATTCCAAACATCAGTGCATCTCCATTATCTTCAAACAGCCACGGAACAATAAAGTGGGGCAGGGAAAAAGAGACTGAATAAAAAATGGCATAAAATCCATTTGATGTAATTTTCTTTAAAAGGAAATAAAACACTTGAAGATCAATTAACAATTTCTTGCATAAGTGCTTTATTTGCTTGGGGAAAAGCAGGAAAAAAATACAAAATAGATCTGACCAGATTAATTCCAGACCACAAAATTCTTTGGTATTAGACACTCCTGAATGTACATCTACTATCTCTAAGTCAAAGGCAAAGTAACATCTAATACAATTCTTTTGCATATCACACAACTTATAATTCAATATAAACATTTAAAACCCATTAACAGACTTTCAAAAATAATACTAATGAAAGAAATCCAAAAAGACAGCTACTCCATGGTATTGGCCATTTTGTTATTCTAAATAGCACAATTCTGGTTTTGGTATCACAAAGTGTTTGGAATACTATCAGAGAGCTACAGGGAGGAAAAGAGGAGCATGAAGAAAAGATGGAGGAAGCAGAGAGGAGTACCTGGCACAGCCGAAGGAACTCAAGGGCTAGTTTAGCATCAGATGCCTTAATTGCCAAGTACCAGATGTAGTAATGAGAGTATAACCTAATGTTATATTCATTTTAGTGACCTGGTTTTGAACAATACATTACATAAGTCAGTTGTTTCTTTGGGTTGATTTTATGATATCAGGTCAGACTGAATAAAAAGCAAGCTCCTCAGCTTTTGTTTTCAATATACAGTACAAAGAAAAAACATTGTCTATACAGCGTATGTTTCACGAGTTCATGTCTATGGATTAAACAATATACATATCATCATGCTGCAGATAATTCATGATTTATTATTCTGAATTAACACATAGAGCTTATGCAAATTTTACTAATATTGAGTAGTGCCTTTTGTTCTATAATAGTCTGATTTACTTCAAATGGACTATTTGTGGTACTCACCATAGATGGGGGCAGATTATGGCCCCAAAAATTATGTCTAATCAGTCTAAAAATTAATTAATCTATTCCCTTTTTAAAAATACTTCTTTAGACAACAAGTATTCAGAAATATTAATAAGAATCTGAACTTAATAGATATGAGCAGAGCGCAAATGTAACAACAATAATAATACATAAATTTTCTAATAATGGAAAATGTATCTTACTGAACTTACCTTTCATAGTCAGACTTGGCTACCAATCCGTAACACTGAGCATGTTGGAGGATTAACAAATGCTGTTGCATGGGCATTCTATTTCCAATTAAGAGATTTTTTTCCTCAATTACTAACAATGTATACTTTTCCATCTATTATCTTTGCCTGATCCAAAGCACAACTTCTATCTTTTTTTTTTTTTTTTGGTGAATGGATTTGGATTCAATACAAGCATACTATTTTTAGAGTTTTTGCAAGCATAGCAAGTAACTGATTTATACAACATTTCAGTTTTGGGAAATCCTTAGAAATTATTTTTCTGCCTGGCCATAGAAAGTAATTTTTCCACAAAAACACCACAGCTAGTACATTTATCTGACATATTTGTAATTTTGAATCAGAAGTCCAGAAATGGCCATTTCAGGATATTTGAAATATGTCTACATGTACAGAACAAATAATATTCCATGTGTCTATTATATGTTTGATAAAATGTTTTACACGTACATAGAAAAATGTAAAATGTTAATGATTCAAAAGAAGACTTGAGCTTAAGGAAAGCAAACAGAGGAAATACTGTTACTGTGAATAAATTTACCATCAAGCTAATTCAAATCAGATTTAAATAGGATTAAATAATTAAATAAAAATTAGATTTAGAAAATAAGGAAAACTCTTTAAAGTTATAATAACTGTGGTGAATACCATAAAGTCCTGATACAAGTCACCTGAGATTGGCCCAACTGTGTCACAATTAGAGAAGGGACATCTTTTCTTTGACTACAGAAAATAATTAGAAAACCAAGCTCCTGTGCCAACAGCCTTAAAAATGGGAACATAATATAGTAGTGGATAGCTGAAACCCTTGTTAAAAAGATTCTGGCTAAAATTCCTCTTTTTCCTGTGGAATCTAAGTAAATACTGGTAGTCAATAGATTCCTATTCATAGAGATTGATAGATATCGCAAGAAAGATCAATTAAACAGAAACTGAAAATGCCTGTGGAATACACTCGGGATAAAATTCTAACTCATGGAACTCAATGGATATTTTGCCACTGACTTCAGTGGGTCCAGGATTTTACTTGGGACTTCAATGAAGACATATATTACATGATTTCTTCTGTGTAAAGAATTATACAAATAATAATTATTATTATTCCATGGTGTCAAGGAGCCCCAGTCACAGATCAGGACACCAGTATGATAGGTGCTATACAAACAGAACAAAAAGAGGTAAAAATTAATTTGTTTAGAAAAGAATTCTCCAGGTAAAACTAGTTCCGGTTTGGAAATGTATAAAGAGATCAGAGACATACTGGAAAACTAATTTTAAAGACTATGTTACAATAGATTAAGCATTTAATGCAAGATAACTTTAAATACCATGAAAATTGGACATTTTTATGTTTTAATGTTTACCTTCTTTTTTGCATTTTATCAAACAAATAATACATAGGAAATTTATATTTTTATTGAGATGTCATTATTTAGCTGCTAATGTAAATACTGTAAAGTAAATACCACTAGATATTTCTTTATTGCTTCAGTAAATGATAAAAAGTACTGGTTATGGAGGAAACAGCAAACAGATTTCGGCCATATAAGTTCTACAGTCAAAATGCAAATTTAAAGTATTAAATTGTGTTCACTGTGGCCTTTTGGATGCATTTTCTATTCTGCCTGGTGGAGAGAAATAAAAATTGTAGAGGTTAAATTCTCTCAGATCTGTTAGTACTCATGATCTGCCAACCCCTGTTAGTACTCATGATCTGCCATTATTCAGCCTACTGGCACTTTTTGAGTGGAAAGAATCCTTCTGACTTCAAAAGGGCTTGGGATCAAGCTCTATATTCCATCACCAGGATTATCCCATTGAAGAGAGTAACTAAATTAATGTTCTGTATATCTATTACTGATAATATTAATAACAGTTCTAGATTAGGCCAAATCTCTTTAGTATAAGCACAGATGGTAGCTCAGTTAACGTTGCTTGAAACTTTTTACTGTAAGATCCTGTTTTCAGTTGCTTATAATTTTGCCAAATTGTTCATGCTAAAATTTTCAGTGACAGACATCTCTTTCATGCTGAGTTTTTTTGGAAAGTTTCAGATAAAACAGTTATATTATTTTTGAGACTGAGATTACAGGAAAATATTATGTTGAGTTCAAGTTAAAAAATTCTTATAATAATTTAACTGAGAAACTGTAGCATGCCCATACTTGGACGGTAGCTTCGCCATTTGCAGCAGAAATGCGCTGGTGTGAGAAATGTGCCTTTCTCCCAGTTATAAACCTCTGAAAAATATCAATTTGCACATGCTCAGAAGAGAACTGTTCAGAGTTCTAAATTCTGAATGCTTAAAGCCCATATCAGGGATTCAGTAGGACACTTCCTCCAATTGCTGTGAGCAGCTAGGGTTCATTGTGGCACTAGGCAAAGGAACTGGGAGCAGGAATTCCATCTCTCTTGTGCTTTCAGTGCTCCTGTTCCTGGTGCTTACAAAACAGGGAAGGAGGAAGCTGTCTGATGCAAAAACAGAGGGTATTGCATGAACCTGACAAGGTGAGGAAAGTGGACTAAAACGGAGGGATGGATAGGAGGAGTGAGTCTGGTGGAAGGGTTATCAGGAGCAGAGGCTAAGGTAGGGAGGATAGGAGCAAAGGAGAAGGAGAAAGAGTCAGGATGAGTGACTGTGGACTGAAGCAGAGATAGGCAGGAGATGGGGAACAGGAACAGAGGTGCTGATTAGGAGAAAGTGGAAGTGGGACAAGAGCTAGGGGCGGATAGGAGTGGAGAAATGTGAGAGAGGGGTGAAGATGCAACGCAGAATGGTCTGTAATCATAAGAACTCTTGCTCCGTCAGAATCTGGAATTGAACCCTGTAGTCCTTTATCTCTATAATCCTCTGCTGTCAGTAAATAGCAGTGAAACCCGCTGGCAAATGTTTGTCTCATCCGACTAGTAGGTGGCCCACACACGGGATAATGACTTTTTACTGCTATTAGCTCAAGTGGCAGAAGTAAGTATTGTGCAGCTAATAAACCAGACTTTACTGACCACCAGGCAGTGTCCTCAGTAGGATTCCTCATTGTTTTATATAATTACGTACCATTGTAAAAGAATGTTAATGATGCAGA